AAACGCGAGGCTTTTGAACATCGCAAAGCCTGACGTTTTTGTCGCGGGATGCGCGTGCCGTGGAGAAATCCCCGGGATTTCTCCCTCGTGTGAATACCCCTTAAGGGGGATTTCTCCCCGGCACGCGCGCATCACGAAATGAAAACGCGAGGCTTTTGAACATCGCAAAGCCTAACGTTTTTGTCGCGGGATGCGCGTGCCGTGGAGAAATCCCCGGGATTTCTCCCTCGTGTGAATACCCCTTTAGGGGGATTTCTCCCCGGCACGCGCGCATCACGAAATGAAAACGCGAGGCTTTTGAACATCGCAAAGCCTGACGTTTTTGTCGCGGGATGCGCGTGCCGTGGAGAAATCCCCGGGATTTCTCCCTCGTGTGAATACCCCTTAAGGGGGATTTCTCCCCGGCACGCGCGCATCACGAAATGAAAACGCGAGGCTTTTGAACATCGCAAAGCCTGACGTTTTTGTCGCGGGATGCGCGTGCCGTGGAGAAATCCCCGGGATTTCTCCCTCGTGTGAATACCCCTTAAGGGGGATTTCTCTCCGGCACGCGCGCATCACGAAATGAAAACGCGAGGCTTTTGAACATCGCAAAGCCTGACGTTTTTGTCGCGGGATGCGCGTGCCGTGGAGAAATCCCCGGGATTTCTCCCTCGTGTGAATACCCCTTTAGGGGGATTTCTCCCCGGCACGCGCGCATCACGAAATGAAAACGCGAGGCTTTTGAACATCGCAAAGCCTGACGTTTTTGTCGCGGGATGCGCGTGCCGTGGAGAAATCCCCGGGATTTCTCCCTCGTGTGAATACCCCTTAAGGGGGATTTCTCTCCGGCACGCGCGCATCACGAAATGAAAACGCGAGGCTTTTGAACATCGCAAAGCCTGACGTTTTTGTCGCGGGATGCGCGTGCCGTGGAGAAATCCCCGGGATTTCTCCCTCGTGTGAATACCCCTTTAGGGGGATTTCTCCCCGGCACGCGCGCATCACGAAATGAAAACGCGAGGCTTTTGAACATCGCAAAGCCTGACGTTTTTGTCGCGGGATGCGCGTGCCGTGGAGAAATCCCCGGGATTTCTCCCTCGTGTGAATACCCCTTAAGGGGGATTTCTCTCCGGCACGCGCGCATCACGAAATGAAAACGCGACGCTTTTGAACATCGCAAAGCCTGACGTTTTTGTCGCGGGATGCGCGTGCCGTGGAGAAATCCCCGGGATTTCTCCCTCGTGTGAATACCCCTTAAGGGTATTTCTCCCCGGCACGCGCGCATCACGAAATGAAAACGCGAGGCTTTTGAACATCGCAAAGCCTGACGTTTTTGTCGCGGGATGCGCGTGCCGTGGAGAAATCCCCGGGATTTCTCCCTCGTGTGAATACCCCTTAAGGGGGATTTCTCTCCGGCACGCGCGCATCACGAAATGAAAACGCGAGGCTTTTGAACATCGCAAAGCCTGACGTTTTTGTCGCGGGATGCGCGTGCCGTGGAGAAATCCCCGGGATTTCTCCCTCGCGTGAATACCCCTTTAGGGGGATTTCTCCCCGGCACGCGCGCATCACGAAATGAAAACGCGAGGCTTTTGAACATCGCAAAGCCTGACGTTTTTGTCGCGGGATGCGCGTGCCGTGGAGAAATCCCCGGGATTTCTCCCTCGTGTGAATACCCCTTAAGGGGGATTTCTCTCCGGCACGCGCGCATCACGAAATGAAAACGCGAGGCTTTTGAACATCGCAAAGCCTGACGTTTTTGTCGCGGGATGCGCGTGCCGTGGAGAAATCCCCGGGATTTCTCCCTCGTGTGAATACCCCTTTAGGGGGATTTCTCCCCGGCACGCGCGCATCACGAAATGAAAACGCGAGGCTTTTGAACATCGCAAAGCCTGACGTTTTTGTCGCGGGATGCGCGTGCCGTGGAGAAATCCCCGGGATTTCTCCCTCGTGTGAATACCCCTTAAGGGGGATTTCTCTCCGGCACGCGCGCATCACGAAATGAAAACGCGAGGCTTTTGAACATCGCAAAGCCTGACGTTTTTGTCGCGGGATGCGCGTGCTGTGGAGAAATCCCCGGGATTTCTCCCTCGTGTGAATACCCCTTTAGGGGCTAGCCATGTCCGTATGTCCGGCGTCGGGTGCTCGTGCTCACGAGCACGTGAGCACGTGCTCCCGTGCTCGTGTAGAGCAAAAAAAAAAAAAAAAACCCGCATTTTCACGTGGTGAATGATGTTGATTGGGGCGAAGCTCTGGTGGTGCTTGTCTGCATAGACGGTGAGCCGCAGCATGCCGAGCCTTTCGTTCGTTTTCATCCATGTCAGAAAAAGAATGTGTGGTATGGAACGTGGTTATATACGCATTTGAGCATTTGACCGCAGCGTGACATGAATGAAAACGAACGAAAGGCTCGGCATGCTGCGGCTCACCGTCTACGCAGACAAGCACCACCAGAGCTTCGCCCCAATCAACATCCTTCACCACGTGGAGATGCGTTTTTTTTGTTTGTTTGTTTCAGGTCTAAACATACAGTTCTAGCTTTGTCCTTCGCCGAGATCCCCCGTCGTGATGTCACGAGTGACGTCACCCTCGAGACGTCACGCGGGCATACCCTCCCCTCCTCCTCCTCAAGAACTGCGCTCTAATTCGGCATTACAAAAAATTGTAAACGTCTTTCTTCTTTTTTGCTCTGGTTTCATGCACTGGCACAGGCTAGTGCAACTAAGTGCCTAAAACCATCAAAATGATGCTGAAGCACTTTTTTTAGAAATCTGAGTTAGGAGCACGTTTGCAAGTCCGGCTTCAGGGCATCGCCTTCTTGTTCGGCCGAGGTGCGCTTGGGCGCGGCCATAATCCGATTACGACGCCTTAACCAGGCTTCGTAATCGGATTATTACGCGCCTGAGCGCACGCCAGCAAAACAAGATGGCGCCGCCCTGAAGCGTGTGAATCCAGTAATCGCACTAAACTTGGGCAGAAGTCAACGTAACCCCCATTTATTTTGAAAAAAAAAAAAAAAATGAACAGCGATGATTGCAGAGGTTTAGGATTTAGGGCAGAAAATCTTTCTTTTGTGTGCGTGTGTAAAGGAAGGGGGGATAGAAGGGAACCTGTATATTTTTTCGGTGCGCTGCCGTGCATCAGCGGTCCCCACGCTGCAGAACTGGAAGCTTGCCACCAGCACGCGTTCGGAAGTCGCGCACACAGTTATGGTCGCCAGTGAATACGCGCTAATATACACACCAATCCCCCCCCCCCCCCCCCCCCCCCCCATCCCTCCTCCGCAACCTAAGTGATGGACATCCCCCATCCTCTACCCCGAAGAAGAATTCCTGGCTAGGACACTGACTTCCGGGACATTGCTTTTGTGCCCATTGTAGCTTATCTTCCGCCCACAGGAGCAGAAAAGCTTGGCCCCTTTCCTTCCTACTGCCGTCTTTTCTTGCCTAGACTTTCCTACCAAAAATAACCCACAAACCAAGTTTCTGACAGGAAGCACCACTTCTGCCGAAAACGTACAGCTGCTGCGATGTCTACACGTGGCTTCCATGCCATTTGGCAGAAGATCGAACTCTAACCCCTTTGTTGTCCCCACCCTCGGTGTTTACACAAGGCCTGCGCACATGCCAACAGGCCTTATGGGCATGTCCATGTCATCTTCTACAATAGAGCGCAGGTTACAGTTTAATGTAAAAAATACTAACAATCGACGAAGCGACGTTAAGTGCCGGATCTATCCTCAGAGAATGCGAGCTTGACCCACTTCGGCTTTTGTGCGGAGCTGGGACCTTGCATGCTGCATTGTTCACGCAGGCCAGAGTGGAAACTAGAGCCCCTCTTCCCCCTCACCGGAGAACATGAACTCCAGCCGAACGCTGACGCCGCGTTCGGTTACGTCGGCCGAGCGCTGAATCATTGTATTTGTTGTCCCCATCCGTGCAGTTCTAAAGTTAACCGCTTGGGGCGTCGCGGTCAGTGTTGCCAATTTAGCGGTTTTCCCGCTAAACTTAGCGGTTTATGGTTCTGTCTAGCGGGATAAATTATTGTTTTGCGGGCGGCGGGATTTTTAGCCGGTTTTATGTAATCTTGGCGGTTTCCTAGAGATATAGAAATATATCGATTTTCTGTCTACTATGCACCTTTCACATCCATAATAATAAGGATAATAAACCACAGTAGTCTTCGCTTACTCTCAGTAATGTTCTGGTTTGTGAGAGTAATGCCTGTGACGTCATCAAAACATTAAGGCGTCGAATATCGGAACATGCCTCCCTGTTATGTGCGCGCACGTTTGAACAGCATGAATGGTCCAAATTTCCTTTGACGTTTTTGTCACTGTTTCGTGAAATGGACGCGGCGAAGTACGCTCAAAAGTTTAGAAATGACTGGCTAGAAGACCCCAAAGACCGGCTACTGGAAGTTCCTGGTGATAGCTCACGAGCCATATACCGCTATTTCAAAACGGAACTAACGGAACTATCTGCGAAGAATGTGGATTTCGTCGCGCACGCTGCAACGGAGAAGCATGTTTCGACCGCTGCACCTCTCTCCTCTGGTAGCAGACGACTCGACGAGTTGAACGGGTCTGACCAGGTCACGCACTGCTGAAGGGTCCCTTGCCATGTTCGAATGCGCTCACTCTGCAATTTTGGCTTCGGATCACCTGGGTGAACTGTGGCGTGGCGTGACGAAGTTCTAGTCACAACAAAAGGAAAGCTTCCTTTCAGATGGTATTGATATATAATCTATATTGTTATTATACCTTTGTTAAGAATTAAAGCAAAAAAAAATGTTTAATCTTTTTGCGCTGTGTTTTGGATTTAGCGGTTTTCGGGATTCCGACTGCGGGTGTTCAATTTTTGAGTTGGCAACACTGGTCGCGGTCGTTCCTCCTCCCCAATAAGGCAACATGATGCCCCGCGAATCAAAGCAATCAGCAGGCTTGTAGTGGCACCACATAACAAAGATCAGTGTCACACAAAGCAAGCCTTCAGGAAGTCAGACGAAGTAGAGTAGTGTTCATGTAAATGACATTTTTTATTGTTTTAATTTACAGCAGTAACAAGTGTAGTACTTTACATAACAAACCGTAGCCAAATGCAATGTCGCATTCCATCCCAAGCTACGGTGCCGGGGTTCCCTGGGCTCCGGAAACCGTCATGAACTGACATAGTAGCTCTATCGACGTCGAGGACAAAGCTTTTCCCTTCAAAGTAAAACACCGCTCATCTGTGCAAAGTAACGTGGCATGTCCACTGGTAAAACTCTCCCGTCCAAACCAAGCACAAAATGAGTCAAGGAAGCATGCTGTTCAACGTAATGTGATGAGTCTGTTGCTTAAAAATGTTTGAATTTATTCCAACAACTGTTTGCACAGAAGGATGAGGCTACATTGTGGCTGCACAAGCCATGTCTTTAAAACAAGGACTTAGTGTAACTCATTTCTCGAGCAACTTTTGCTGCAAATGAACGGAAATAAAACATCTCCTTGAGTCGGCCTCAAATCACCCATTCCGACAAAATAGAACCGCCAGTCTTTCCTCTTCATATCAAAAACAGACAAAAAAAAAAAAACTTTCAGCTTTTTTACTCTGGTGAAGAAGGAAGACCAGCGTAGCTGTACTATGGTGGTAATAAAGTAATGGCCAGCCGCAAGTCGGCAAGCCAAAGTGGCAAGGCTTTAAAGGTTGCCGCTACCCATCTATGAGCGACGGCAGCAACCATACAACCGGCAAGCCGGTTGTCTGGTTGCTGGCATCGCTCATAGATGGCGGTAGCTGTTCAGAGTTTTGTGTGGACATATCTTTGCTGGCGGACATGGTACTCGGGAAACTAGCCCTTAACAGCTCAGCTGTAAAAAAACTGACTCCTTTTAGTTATGCCATTTTAATGTTTACTATCCCTAAAATTACCTTTGGGTTCTCTCCCATTTCGTTTTTCTGCCAAATCCTCTTGTGCAATTTCTAAACAAACCCCTTATTTTTGCTTTCTTCGCACTCGGACAACTGCCATCCCCCGTTTGCGTTGGACACAAACATTTCTACCAAAGAGCTCAAGTTCAACGATCGTCAAACAACTAAATAATCAATTAATTCTCTTACAGAGAGTTCGCCATCCCACTACAGCTCTGAAGAATATGGAACACAATTCACTGTCCTTTGATGTCGCTCCAAACTTGAACTGCTCCACAGGAAGCATAAAAAATGCAACAAAGCGCGTTCAAGAAAACAAAGAAAAAACGACTGACTTCGAGGTGGCCAATTTCTTTACAAAAATAAGAAAAAAAAAACGAAGAGCAAACACCATTAAATTACTCTCTGCTCGCTTTTTGCAGGTGGTCACAAACTCACAAAAAACATCCCAGTCGAATAATCTTGCCATATGTTGTTGTGGGGATTCTTCGATTGTCTTCAAGACAAAGGACTGCGGTGAAAGTTACGCGGGCATCCCAGAAGATGAAGGGACTACCTAGATGCCGAGGCGTTCGCACGAAGTGGACGAGACGTTTCGACGAACCTGCACGTAGTAGAGAGATCGCAACGAGTTTTCCCACGACGCACAAAACTCCGCCAAGCGCGTTTGGATGCTTCCGGCTCCTGCGACCCTCGAACCATGACGTCACGAGCCGAAACTCGAGTCCGTCCGTTACAACTACAAAGGGTGGAACGAGTTTTTGACCGGTGTGTCTAGCACCCAGACTCCCGCCGTTTGGTCGTGAATATGCAGACGATAGAGTGGGTCCTTGTGGCAGCGGCGACCCGTCTCGTGTCCGCTTTGGTTTCAGTTGACTGCCTGGCTGCGAAGCGACTTTCGGCAGAACAGGCGTCTGCTGCATCCACCTCCACAGCTTTGTCGTCGCCACAATTGCAGCAGACGGCGGCGCGACACTTCTAAGACGCCGTTGGGCAGAACTTGCAGACACAGTAAATACGCTAGTCGGAGACGTGGTGCGGGCACCAATCATAACTAGAGGCCGGATGGTTTAGGCAAATAAAAAGTACTTTATCTGGCCAGGCCTTCGAATGCGGCGACAGAAGGGCCCGGTGGGAATTCAAGGGGCGTTCCCGGCAGCTGGCGGCGATGCTAGAACTCGACAACGAATTCCCAGAAGGTGGCGCCGGGCCCGACACGAAGCTGGTCGCGAGACGCGGTCCACAATGCCCCGTAAATTTTCCAACCATTTCCAGCCACGCGCGCGAAAACAGTTGCCCAAAACATCCGTCCTCCGGCCCCAAGAGCCGATCTGCGAGAGTTGAAAAGACAAACGGCGTGCTGTCGACGAGGCGCGTTTTCTCCGAGTCCCGGGGATGCGTCAACAAGTCAATTTGTCTAAAAAAAAAAAAAAAAAAATGAAAAAAAGAAGAAATGTGGAAACCGCAGAGGGGATCCAACGTTGGGCCGCCCTAGGAGCTGACGGCCCTCTCTTGATCGGGCGGTGGGACGTCGTCGTACATTTCGCGGTCGCCGGGGCGGCCCTTGATGTAGAGCGGCGCGCACTTGCCCATTGCGCACTCGTGCGAGATGTGTACGCTGACCACGTCTGAGCCGGGGATTTCGAACATGGGCTCGAGGAGGATGGTCTCCTGCGGGGGGAAGACGGGAATCGAGATTCAGACACTGTTCAGACTGGTATACAGTAGTGCCTCGTTAATATGAACCCTGTTAATGTTCATACCCCACATTATAGACAGAATTGTTGGAAACGAACTGGGTAAATGGATGCATTTTTGTCTCATTACTGAGGACGACTCACATTATGTGCTCTTTTTTGGGAGAATGGAGGTGCCCATACTGCCACAGTGCATCAAGCCACTGGAAGCAATCTGTAGCTTGGACTGTATCACATGACTTTTGGTTGGGCGGAGCAAAGTGTGGAGTGTGAAGTCACGTGGCATGCATATAGCACTGGGTTGGCTAACATAGCTCGTAGTGTCCGTAGTGGTACACTGTAAAGCGATTCAGAGTACGCGAGGTCAGAATGTGTGTCGTACGGTTGAAGTCATTGCGGGAACCAAATAGGTGTTCATAACAGAATCTGGACCATTGCTTGGATATGGGCAGAATAGAAGTTAACATTATATGCCGACACAAAAGTGATGACGCCAGTTGGGAATATTAGTATAGCACTAAAATTGTGATCAAAATTACAAACCAAACAAAACCTAAATAATAATAATAATCAGTAGCTAATATCAAAATTAGAATGATAAAAGTGGAATTTGACTTTTTGTAGCAGGCAAAATATTGGTTTCGAGCAGCCACTGATGCTTTTGGAGCAGATGCCAACATCTGTTTACTCATCACTTGAGAATGAGCAAGTTACTGCATCACTCATCACCTTAAACCTCGTGTAAGGATCCGCTCATACCACACGCCATGCTTTTCCTTACCTACAGCGTAAACACTGTCGCCATGTCAACCTTTCCTAAGTTAACATGGCGACAGTGTTTACGCTCCATTGTATTTAGGCGGGGTTCGAGTATTTGGGGATTCTGCTGTCTGTCGGTGTGCCCCTTTCCGCCTGATATTGTCGCCCGTGACGTCAGAGAGTGGGATGGTGACAGGCACAACTGCTCAGTAAACAGACATCGGCAGCCATATTTTGCTGGTTAAAGCGAACCCCCTTATCCTTGACAGCGAGCGGAGAAATGCGAAAAAAGATTGTATTGGCCATTTTAACACAACCAGCGAGGAGTGTTGTCTGCTACTTCCGTCAGCTATTGCACCATAATTGTGATCTTTGCGAAGTGATTGTTGCTAGCCACAGAACACTATCACGCAGAAAGGGAATGCTTAAATATGTTTTTATTCTAGAAGTCGGGGATATATATGAGAGAGAAAGATGGAGATAGAGGGGAAGAGAAACGAGCATATAGTGTTGTAGTACAATAAAGTAAACAAAATTCTCAGTGGCCAATGGCTGCATGATCTTTTCTCGGATAACTAGTCCGTAATATGATACCTCCTTGTACGCAGTAGTTTCTCCTCACTTTTACTGTGTGAATGATTGCTATAGTTATCAATGGCCTCATCTGAATAAAAATATATAAAATATGTGTGCTAGTTTCATGAAACTGGAACTTCGAGTGACTTCTCATATAGGGCACTACTAAGTGTAGGCTTTGGAAAAGTACCCTACTTTGGGGAGTTATGGCTCCTTTCTCAATCATATAATGAAACATGTCTTTAATAGAAATGGATGCCTAAATAGAATGACAGGAACCCAAAGTTTAAAAAAATTGAAGGTGATGTTTTCTTAATTTACATTAAAATTTTTCGTTGTTTTATTTTTTTTTATGTTTCCCTAGATATATCACGATTACCATATCACTGAGCTACCTAATATATATATCATATAATAGCCATATATAAGTAGAATACTGTCTGAAAAGTATATGATGGTGATAAATTATTTCATGAGATACAGGTCTCCAAATTTTGCCCATACTTTGTTTCTAAAAAGTATTAGAATTATCCTAATTTTATTGTTTTAATTATTCACTCTCAAACGTGCCCCCTCCATCAGCGCGCGTTAATGCAACTGTCCACCTCCTCATGCCTTACAACTTTTCCTGTCCCCCAATTTTTTTTTTTTTTTTTTGTCAGAATTAAGTGTGGATTTGTTTATACCTGACACTAGGCAATGGCATATAAAAACATCAGTTGATTTAAAAATGTTGACCAGTCACTCTTTGGTCGATCTTATCTGGAATCACCCAGTTGCACTTCAAAAAGCAGCCCTGAGCTTTAGCGGAATTGGAGCCAGAGTTAGTTGAAGTTCGCTACCCTTTCCATCGACTGCGGCACAGAAACTCTACTGACTAGTATGTAAAGATATAAAGACCCACATTTTTTTCATCCTCTCCCTGTCAGCTTTTAAAAATTAGAGATCAACCTACAATCAAATAATTTCAGAACCTACTGCGCTAGGCCAGGCGCACCCCCATGTCAGCCGCCGCTCCTAGCACTCCAGTGCAACCAGTGAAGCACAACACATGCACGCTGGTGTGAGGCGGTGAAAGTTGATGCGAGTGGCAGAGGTGTCATGGTGTATCGTAGCCACAGAGTGGAGGCTTGTGGCAGACGTATGCTAATCAGGTGATCTCATCAGCAGTGAAGGGCCCTGGTTTTGTCTTACTACAGCAGCCACAATTGCACTAGTTTGCACAATTTTTTTGCAACTTTTAACTCCCGACATTGCCGACATCGTCCGAAAATTCAGACGATGACGAGGTCAGCGTGGATAACGAGCAGCCTCTATACTTTGTTTCATCGTAAGTCAATGCACAGCCGACGACACCAGCTAATGAAACCAATCAAACGGCGTCAAAAGCACACAATCATGGCATTCGTCATCTCTCTGGGCGGGTTCTTTCATTTAAACCAATCAAGCACAGCGAATGCCCCGTGATTTGAGCTCTTAATGTGTGTGTTGGGGGTTTGAGCCTTCGGCTGTGCTCTTAGATATCTAAGATGAAAGAAAGTATATGGCGAGTAGAGATGCTGCGGAATTACATATTGGTAACATTTTTCTTTCTTTCTACTTCTCTGATTATTAAGATCAACCAATAATTAAATATTTTAACTTTTTTCCCTTCGTTTAAGTTAATCTCGGCGCAGGCGTAATGTAATTTTTAGCAAAAATTTAATTTTGGCACAAGATGTGGCAAACTTTCCTTCATGGCGCAATTTGGTGCAAATGGCACAGCATTTTCATTAGAGCACAACCAAGGTAAAAAGGATAAGAATCACAATCACATTCCGATGAAACCATGATGGCAATAGGCACCAAGATAAAAAAGAATACTGGGATCAAAACTGCGATCAGAAACTGCACCGGAATAGTAACCACGGTCAATCGGAATCGGAACAGAGATCAGAGAGCAAACTCAGAATTTTGGTTAAAAGTGGGATGAATGCCCTTTCCCGGGGGTGAGAAGCAAAATGCAATCTCCATGTTTGTTCAACAGGGACTTACCATGATGGCTCTGAGACCTCTGGCTCCGGTTTTGCGTTCCATGGCCAGCCGGGCTATCGCCCTCAGGGCGTCCTGGTCAAAGGTCAACTCCACCTGAAACGACATTCACATTCGCCCTTCTCACGGTCCCACACACTGATCCAGGCTGAGTACACAAAGAGTGCCTCCTCTCAGTTTGTTCAGCGACAGCAGACTCCAAGACTACACTACATGGAAGGAGAGCCCTCAGTCGAAATGTGCTCGCCGTGCCAATGGCTCCCTTTCGCGGGTGGGCTAACAGAGTACCGTGGTAGCCGAGGAGTGTTCCCTGGTTGCCACTACGGCACTGGTCTGCCAGAATCAAGTGGCACACAACGGGAACTTCTATGCAACAGCCCCAAACAGCATGAGTCAGCATTGCAGCAAACACTAAAACTTAGAATGAAAAAGGAACGACTCAAGCTGATTCCGCAGCCACCGCACGTGTCTAAAGGCCGATGTATACTTTGCGCTTTCCACTTTTCCTCCTTTCCCATATTCTCTCTACCTTTCAACTTGCCCTAATGCAGTCTTCCTCGCACTTTAGAAAAGGAGGACGCTACAACGGTCATCTCTGCAGAAAACCGAGGCTGTGTGTCGGGAGCTTAAAGGGGCGGTGCAACAATATTCAGTTGGAATGTTTTTCACTTTACACGAACTTACTGGCACTAGTAGGACTCAAGGATACTCGCACGCAACGCCACTGACCAAGAAACTCCTTTGTTGCGCTGTAATTTCGAGGACAAAACCGAGTGTTTTCATTCAATCTCTCCTTCGAAGAACCTGATGATGTAGCTGGGCGGTAGCAGTACCGCCCAGTGACGATATTTGAATACGGCTCATAGATTGGACCTGAGCATGGCGTGGACACTCGATTTGGACTCGTGATAATCAATAGCTCGAGAAACATTCGGGTAGTGTCCTGTGTCCAATCGCTGCAATGACGACTACAGCCGAACCATAACAATGTCTGGAAATCAGCGCGTGTCCTGTGCCATGTCAACTCCAGCGCATGGCTATGATCAACATTGGCGGCATATAATCGGCTCCAAATCACGGGGCCGCTTGTTCTGGCTGCGAGTTGAGGGGGTGAACTCTGCTCGTTTTTCTTTATTTTTTTTCTGCGACTTCGATTGCATGTGGTGAAAACAAACGGGTATTTCACAGATCATTAACATCAGGGATTCGTCCTAAGCGGTATTTGAGCAAAATACAAATATCAGTGCATCGCCCCTTTAAGGCAGACAACTGTAGGGCACTGCGGAAGGCTCGAGCGCCAGACTCGCAAAAGTGCATAGATTCCAAAATGTGTAAGTGGGGTCAAACAGTGTGTCATCATGTTGAACCTCTGCCGTATAAGTGTGGGAATGACACAAACAACCGGATGTGGGTGGACTATGACGTCGCCCTTACTTGGAGGTAAGGGCTCACACCTGCACCTTCCTATTGCTTTGTTTTGTGCATGCCAAGCAACTGCCACACATGACAACCCAATAAAGGACTAGGAAAGTAGGGAAAGAACTAGAAGCTAAGGAAAAAGAAGCAAGCAAAAAACAAGAAAAAAACCCCTTTGGCTATCAAAAAAAAAAAAAGAAAAAAGAACACGAGTTAGCACAGAGAGGAGTGGCTCGAAGTATGCTCACTGAAAAGTAAACTGACACTTTTAAAGGTTGACATACAACCTCGGCTTTCTGCGGGGAAGATTATTCTCTAAGGGTCCTCTCCGAAACTACGAGGGGGCCCGTGTTGGGGCAAGGTGGAAAGGATACAGGAAAGTGCAGCAGAAGCTACAAGGGTGAGCTACGGGATTCCAGTGTCCCTGCCAAGCACGCAAATGCTTGTAGATCTTGCATCGCTTGCACACAAAATGAAGCAGGCTAGAGAGAAAAGCGCACCTTGTCCATGCCGATGAGCATCTGGTACTGGGGCACCAGTGCGTTCCTGGGCTCGGTGAGGATCTGCACGAGCATGTCCTCGCTGAGGCTGTGGAAGGGCACCAGGACCGGGAAGCGCCCCACGAACTCAGGGATCATGCCGAACTCGATCAGGTCCCGTGCCTCCACGCCACGCAGTAGGGCATCCCGCTCCGCGTTGTCGTCGCTTGCGCTGGAGTGCGGCGAGGCGTTGGCCAGCCCGGCCTGGGACGCCGCACGCCGCCCCGGCGAGTCCAGCACGGGGGCTCCGAACCCCAGGTACTGCAACCGGATGGGCGGAGGGGGGGGGGACACTGAGGACACGTCCCAGCGCGGTATCCCAGCGCACTCCGAGTGACTCTACGTGCTCTGCTTGTGAAGTGGAGTGTTCAAACAGTTTTAAATGTTTTGCGAGAATATGTTGAGGGCCAAGGTCTGAACCCCAGGTACTGCAACTGAAGACAGGACAATAGGTATGCGTCTCGGCACGGTGTCCTGGCACACCTACCGTAATACCCATGCCACACAGACATGGCAAATGCCATTCAGGGCAAATCTCATTTGGGCACCGAATGACATTCCATTTCAAGCCTGTGCTACACGTACATTTCGAATGTCATTTTGCGCCATGATGATGATAGTGCCTGCTCTCTGAAGAAAACGAATTGTAAAGTTTTTTGTAAGCTAAATATGTTTGTTCAAGGTTATGATCTCTAAAAGTGTCTATAGGTAGTTTTAAACAAATTTTGCAGTCAATTACTTTGTTTTTTTGCGTTCCCGCTGCAATTCATTTGTGAGTGACGCTCTATTTGCTGTAGCTGCAATAAGCCAAAGCCAAAGGCAGAAGCTGACCAAAGCGAAAGGAAATGGCGCCTGTACAGTCGCGAGTGTCGGTCCTTGCACCGAAGGACGGTAAACGGATGCGACGGTTAATGAGCGCCCTCATTTATTTACGCGCCAAGCACCGTGCCGAGCAGCAAAGGCTCTAAGCCGAAGCTGAGGACGCTCACTCTCGCGTTCGTGAAATTGAAGGGCAGCTGCTCTCAAACTCCGTGGCTCTGGCTGCTGCTTTCGCTGCGCACTGCCCAGCGCACCGATCGCGGCTGCTTGCGGCTCCATCGGAAGGAACTTCGAAGTTCGAACTAAACGTAACCAAACCGAGAAGAAACGCGAAAAAGATGGCGACGCAGGCAAAGTGGCTGTGTCTACTGGGTTAAAGAGTAGTCGCTTGCAATTATGTGACAAGCCGCGCTTCAAATCTAGTATAAAGGAATGCATACATAAAAACGAACACAAATAAATAACTTTTAGTACGGATCTACTTTGATGAACGTAATCACATTGGTGTTTTTTTACTTGGGGCCTGGGGTAGAGGCTACACATCTGGCCCATGACTGAGTGCGAATGAGTTCCGCCGAACCCCTTTGGTGGCAAATGACATTTGCAGCGAATGCCATTCGTGTAGGCCGTGTAGCACCAGTCAAATGACATTTGGGGTGAATGACATTCGTTGTAAATGGCATTCGAGTTGCCCGTGTGGCACGGGTATAAAATCCCTTATGAACGCTCATCCCCGTTTTGGGGGCAGATTATTAAAATTCCAGAAACATAGCCCACCCCCCCGATTCCTGCCGGGTAATGATCACGCAATGTCGGGCGGGAATTGCAACAACTGCGGGATCTGCGGTACCGATAAGTGTGACAAGCCTGCTTGCCACGGGTTCTCTCGTGTTTATCTCTCTGTAACACGCGAATCTGTTACATCTGCGATCTGCGGTATTCATTCTTGTGACATGCAAACTTGTAGCTCATTCCCGTGCTTTTTGGACAGCAATATCAGTTCCCACGATACGCGGGTTTATAGCGGTCTCCAGCGTGTTTATCGCACCGTGAAGCACGAATCTGCTGCATCAGGGTTCTGTGGTATCCGTTCTCATGACGGGGTGTTTGTAGGGAATTCTCCCATGTTTATTGCATCGTGGAACGGGAATTTGCTGTGTTCGCGAACTGCGGTGTCAGTTCCCAAGGCCCCAGTGTTTAGCGCAAATTTTTTAGAAATTAGCGATAAACATTGGGGCTTTGAAAACCACAAGTGCAACAGCAAAAAATTATAAATCTTTTGCTGTTGCATTTTTAAAGATCACCTACCCCCTATTTTTCACCACTTACGGTATCTTCCCATTTTGGGTGGGCGAGCTTACGGGGCTTTAAGGTATAGTCACCAGTTACGTGCAGCGTTCCCAAAGGTATAGAGATGAGAGTCTAATGCAAGCAGTTGAAGGAATTCTCCTTTTACCCGAGCCCTCCTTTATGCATCCCACACATCACTTTTGTATCCCTCAGAGATCAGTCAGTCGCTCAATATTCATACAAAAAGGACTTCCCCCTTTCTACTGCCCATGCCTTTAAACACATTGTTTTTACTCAAGATTCTAAAATGTACCATGATTCTGGTTTCATATCGGATTAAAAAATGGTATTCACACAGCAGCGAAAGCCACGGAGGAATGTGCGCGACATCAGCAGAAAATGCAACTCTCTCCTCAACTTTGTCGCTCACATGCAAGACGGGACAGTGGAAGAGATGTTGACGTTAGCAGTCTAATTTGGCGACAGCTAACGTCGTCACAGCCTCCACAGGGCGAGCGGACGAGTCAGGGAAAAATTCAGTCCTCGCCGTGACGTCACTCCAGTTCGCCGTAAGGGGGCGCCACGCGAACTTCTCGGGGCTAATACTAGTACCCCATAAAATTGGTTCACGGGGCTGAAACTTTGCATGCCCTACCTCTATATGGCTACAAACACCACCTGCAAATATCACTCCGATTGAGTGAGCGGTTCAAAAGTTGACATTCCCAGGTAGTGTCCCCTCCTAATGCCCTAGAATAATTTTTCATTTCTCTGTCTCGAGTGTCTTTGAGTGCTGCTTTAGGTTTTCTTCAATATTAGTAGGCGCTTGTCACTCTGCGTTGTCATGCTGCCTAAGCTCATTGATGTAATGTTATTCTTTGATTGTCTACATTGTAGTGCACATGCTATACCCTGATCATCCTTGCCTTGAACGCCCTCTAGGTGTCTGGCAATACTTACAAACAAATAAAAACAAAACAAAAAACAAGCTGATCTGCCACCAGACAAGGATTATGTACCGCCTGAGCATTCCCCCTGCCCTCCGCCGCAAAGGCGACATTACTGTGCCACACAGCGAAAGCACGTTTTCGTCATGTGATCAGCGTTCCACGGAGGAATCCCTGAGGTTTCTCCCTCGGGCAAATACGGCTTCACCTTTTGATGCCCAGGGCTGCTCAGCAGCAACAACTCAAGAATGATTTATTTCTCCCACGTCATGTGCGCCTCAATAAATTTACCGCCCTCTATCGCAAGGGCGGGGATAGTTGCGCTTAGCAGTGAAGAATTGAATTGCATCTTCAAAACAGATCACTTGCCCTTTAAAGCCAATGTTCACAGGGGGATGTAAGGTATGATGGCATGCACCACTGACCTCGAAACTCAAAGAAAAAAAAACAGGCACAAATATTGCAAATTCAGTTACAAGTGTTCGTACCGCGCAAAATGCGAAGTGCACCTGTGCCTTCTCCCAGGTCATAACTGCTTTCGGTCATTGCACGTAAAATAATGCCGCAAATGCCCAATGCAGCATGGCCTATGTTGCTTTTTGTGCCATTGAAAACTTAACTTAAGCCGATGCCCAATGTTGCTGACAATGAACATTTCGAAAACGTAATTACGAAGAAAGGTTATTTTATTTCTGAGACCAGATTTATGTTATTCTATGTGTTGCAGCACCACGCCAGGATTTCTAGGTTCTGAAGTATTTCAAGTAAAGTTTTGGGCGTCAAAGGGGTTCATGTGCAGGCAAGTTTCAAATATACTTTTCTAAAAAAAACAAAAAAATGTGTGTGTTAACCGACCTTCTCGTTGCGCCTCCTGCCCACGATGCGGTCGAGGCCGTTGAAGGCCCCTGACGCCACGAAGAGGATGTTGGCCGTGTCCACAGTGAGGGCCTCGCCTCTGAGCTTGCGAGAGCTGCGCTCGGGGACGCTGACCAGGGTGCCTTCCAGCATCTTCAGCATGCCCTGCTGAACACCTTCTCCGCCCACGTCTCGTAGCTGGTGGATACCTGGCACAGCGCCGATCTTGTCCACCTCGTCCAGAAACACGATGCCTGTGGGGAGAAATTTCGGCCCTCTTCGTCGCTCCGAAGGTCTCTCAAAAGTTTCGGCTAGTGGCAGAAGTCGTCCACAATTGTCGCCAACACGAGATTGGTATACATCCGTGTAGAGCTGCAACTTTGCACAATTCATTCCTACTCCGAACCACGCTTTCATGAAACCATCTTCCAGCATCTGTGGTTGCAACGTAAATGTCTTAGCATAACTGTTTTGGCAATGTTAACTTCTTAGCATGCCATTAGCAAGTAACTATTTTCATTCCTAGAATTTGCTGATGTCTTCTTATCGCTATACCTTGTAACTAAGCCGTAGGTTTTTCAGTTTTGACCGAAAATCGCCAGTGGCAAAAGTACAAAATCAGATAAAACCGAAAAATACCAATTCCAGGAAATATCTGCTCTAAGCAAAACTTTCTAGAAATCCAGACGGTGTTTGTTGAAACCCTCCCTTCTTAAAGGTTGGTCAGGTGCATACCCTTACCTAGAATCGAGCCCCCTGCCAGCCTCGATTTAATGAAATCATCAAGCTTAGAGGGTGGTAGAACGCGAGTAAGGTCAATTACTCGGTCACCACGGACTGTCACAACATCTCTGTTTTGTTCAGGACCGAGCTGAACGATGGTGTTTGAAACTACACTGGCAATCGCGAAAGAAGCAGAAGTGACGTGACTTCCTCATTGCGTGACCATTTCTGCAAGACAACAATTAAAATTTTGCCGTCACACAGAGAAAAAGGGCTACTTCCCCGCCTCCCTCCCGCGTTTCTACCGGCGGTGTCAACAGCATCGCTCGTGTCGTTAGAATCTTTTGCTTTGGCAGACTAGGCGCAAGGAGCAGGCTAGAACACAAGAGAATGAAAGCAGCCGTGCTGTGTGTAGCGTGCAAACATGATGCGCATGTGTAAGCCTAGAATGAGAGTGCATTCAACTGAGCGATTCCTATCATGTGGTTTACGAACACCACAATGCGACTACTCTGGGCAGGCCACATAAGACTTCTGCGGGACAGAATCTGGATACATCTGGACGCTTTCCGGGGTTAAGGCTTGGTCACAAACTTGCAACCGCGTAGCACCGGCAGAGACGAGACTGGTTTTTAAGCCTTTTCCGACAACTTAGGATCTGCTGCGCAGTAGTGCACATGGTATTACGTCTTCGCAAGAGGCTTAAAAACTGGTCTTGTCTAACTCGGTCGTACTCGGTTGCAAGTGTGTGAACGGGCCTTTAGAGGTCGAGCTTGCAACGTACGTCGCGCAGAAGTGCGCAATCAATCCCTACCCGTGCAACGCAATCGCCGAGCAAGCACGGAGAATGCAGTTCAGACGGTCGTTTGTAATGTGTGAGGTTTCATTGGACAATGCCGACGGCGTGTCTTGGGAACGTAGCAGCGATGTTGACAGGAACGACAGCACCGGTACGGACGAAAGACATTAAGAACAACAGGGAAGAGTGCAGTCGTCTCGCCACCAACGCGAGCTTCCTAACTGGGATAGCCCCTCGGCATCTCGTGCGTGCACGTGCAGCTAAGCGCGCCAGAAGGCGTCTAGCGTGTGCCAGAAGCCAGGCATTCAAAAGAGGCGCCCCGTTATTCTCCCACGTTCGCCGTAGAACGCTCCCCTAAAGCATGATTTTTTTTTCTTGTTTTGCTGACACGCAACATGGGGGGGTTCGACTTCCAATCGTGTAAAAACAGTAACATCCCTTAAAGGAATGTCTCACAAGTGCCACCAAGGAAGTGTTTGAGTCGTACAGAACCGAAGTCAGTGTTGCCCGACACGAGGCTTGAAGAAAGAAGGTAGACGAGGAGGGAGAAGATGAGGGAGTGAGTGCACCCACCCTGCTGAGCCCGGTCCACGTTGAAGTTTGCGTCCTGCAGCAGCTTGGCGATGACCGACTCAATGTCCTCCCCCACGTAGCCGGCCTGCGTCAGGGTGGTGCAGTCGCAGATGGCAAAGGGCACGTCCAGGCAGCGGGCAATCGTCTGCGCCAGCAGCGTCTTACCTGCAACGAGCAACCCAGGCAGTTGCACCACCCGCCCTTGGGACGCAGTGCAGCCTCGCTGCGCAAAAGCAGCCCCAAAAGCCAAAGAAAAAAACCCCAGGGCTGCACCTGTCATTGACGGAGCCCGCACAATTCCATGCCACGCGGAGAGTTTGTGTAATAAATCCTGAGGTAAACGTCCGCTAGCATTATCCCACATTGAATTGGTGGGGCATAGAAGCAGACGTCGGTGGTCCTGGTGAGCCCAGCTTGCTGCCGAGCCTTTAATGAACACAAAGCAGCAGCAAAGTACCGCCTTCAAGAACAATATTTTGTGTTTCTTTAGCTTGACTTCTCAAAAAAAAACCTGTACCTGTATCATGCATGGTATAAAGAGCAAAAAAGAATGTAGAGCCCTTCCACTTCATGTGAAGATGGAGGATCAGCGAAGCTGTTATCTTTACTTTTAATTGTAATGCGATTAAATGCAAAGGTGCAAGCGAGCTGGACAAGAATGACAAAAGTAATCCCTGGAGAAGAGGAACAAGGGGGCAAAAGACAAACACAAATCTCCAGACACAGCTGGGTGACTGGTGCGCGACCGAAAAAAATCTGCCAGGTTCGGGCAGCTGATAAAACCTGTTTGCTCTACTGACTTCTGACCCCTGGTTAGCTCAGTTGGTAGAGCGCTCCACTGGAAGTGGAAAGGTGCCGGGTTCGATACCCGGACTTGGCGGATTTTTTCGGTCGCGGACCAGTCACCTAGCCGTGTTTGTCCTTTGTACCCCTTGTTTCCCTCCTCCAGGGATTACTTTGGTCATTCTTGTCCAGCTTGCTTGCACCATTGCATTTAATTGCATTATATTCATAACCTTAAAATACAAGTCTTTCACCCTTGTTGGGTGTTAGACTGGTGGCAGCTGATAAAACCCGTTTGCTCTACTGACTTCTAAGCCCTGGTTAGCTCAGTTGGTAGAGCGCTCCACTGGAAATGGAAAGGTCCCGGGTTCGATACCCAGACCAGGCGGATTTGTTCGGTCGTGCACCAGTCACCTATAGTCTGTTGCAACCTATGAACGAAGGGCGAGGGTAAGACGGGCCGGGGAGGAGGAAGCAGACGGAACGCTAAAGAGAAAAGGAGGTTTTTCCCTCTCTTCTCCAGCGTTCTGCTTGCTTCCTCCTCCCCGGCTCGTCTTACCCTCGCCCTTTGTTCTTATGTTGCAACGGACTATAGCTGTGTTTGGAGATTTGTGTTGGTCCTTTGTCCCCCTTGTTCCCCTTCTCCATGATTACTTTTGTTATCTTTCCGACGTCCACGATGGCACCTAGAGGACGACGTCTAGGACAACCTCAAAGATGACTTCTTGGACGACCTAAAGGACAACTCCTAGAGGACGACATCTAGGAAGTCTATAAGGACTGCTCCTAGAACGACCTCGAAGACGACTTCTAGGACGACGCCTAGAGAAATTCAGCCTTTCCACTCTGGTGAAAACCAGAGTGGAAAGGCTGGAAAGGCTGCCGCCATCTATGAGCAACGGCGGCAACCGGACAACCAGCAAGCCGGTTGTCTGGTTGCCGTTGTTGCTCATAGATGGCGGTAGCTGTCCAGAGTTTTGTGTCGACATTTGTTTGCCCGCGGACGCGATACTGGGGAAGCTAGCCCTTAACAGCTTCGCTGTAAAAAAAAGAAAAAGAAACTAAGGTTGACAAGCAATTGCACAATGTCGCCACATTGCAGAAAAATGAATACACTTGTAGTCCGTTGCAGGCTAAGAAAAGCGAAACAAGACTTTTCCACAAAGTTCTCCGCTTGCCATAATTGCAGTACTGCTGAAATTCGGAAAAATCTGTTATGCATTAAGAAACCAAAAACATTCTGATGTACAGTGCAATCCACTTATAACGATATTGAGGAAACCCCTAAATTCTATTATATTATAGCCAATTATTGTTGCGTCTGGACTAGCAACTAATCGTTTGTCTAGAAACTGATTGTTAAAAGCAGTACATCGTTATATGTGGTATCGTTATAAGTGGATTGCACAGTAATTCTAATAAAAATCAGTTGTTGGTCGGCGCTCTGTGCACTTCTGTTTGTCCTTCGTTCATGTTCCTACTGTTTTTAGTTTCTTAACTGCAAAGATTCATGGCCTCCCCTTATCCAGTATTCACTCTGCTAAGGAGGAAAGAGTGGAGGGCTTCTTGGAAGGAGCTTGTCCAGCTTTCCCTAACCTGCAACAGATTACAGTGTATCATCTGCTTTCTTTTTCCGGTCTTCAGTCGCTCTCTTTCTTGTTTGTCCTCATTCAACGTTCAACTCCAGTTTTTACCCTTCCCCCCTTGATGCCACGGGACGGCAATACCGATGACCTGCTACTCCCAAAAACTGCGAAGTCCTCACTGCACGTGGGAGAGAGGGGGGGGCACCCACCAGAGCCCGTGGGTCCGAGCAGCAGGATGTTGCTCTTCTCGAGGCGTATCTCAGAGTCCGGGGCGTCCAGCACGTCCGTGCCCCGCCCGGAGTGCCCCGCCCCGTCGGCCTCGGCTGCGTGCGCAGTCTGCTGCGGCCCCTGGTTCTGGAGGCCCAGCGCGTGGCCATGGGTGATACCCGAGATGTGCAGCAGGTCTGCCGGAAAAAGTGTGCCCCACATTTCAATAACAAACAACGATTTCTTAGGATTTACATTTCTTCCAATAATAGGCAACTGCTTAAAGGGACACTGAACAGAAACTTAAAATATACCTATCACGTTCAGAAATAAGTGAAACATGATCGAGAGTATCGGCTAATGAGAATCACATGCTTATATTTTGGACAAATAGCCTCATTTCTAGTTCCAAAAAATTTATTCCGGCGAGCACTTGAATATTAGCCGTCGGAGAGTGCGACACATCACGGGAGACGTAACGTCAACTGGCCCAACGCGGAAAAAACTGCTTCGGGGCTGGTGTTGTTATGAGCTCTGCCGCTTGGTGTCGTCAACATGTCACAACCTGGCCGTTTTTAGTTCCCGCTCCCTGCAAGAGTTGAATAATCCGGGAGGGAAGGGGAAATCTGGTGCCACACGGCACGTGCGCATGCAGCTTGCTTCCATGCTTCTGCAGAGCGGCACTGCTTTTAAGCCCGAGTGACGTAACCCCATTCGGTTTATTCTTTTTAAATAATGTTTTGCCGACTTTTTGAGCAAAAAAGATTGGTGTCTCCGTGGTGTGGCCAGAACATGGTCGACATTTAGACAATCAAATAGACGCAAGAATTTTGTCGCAGCTTCTCTTTAATAGGCCGATTTCACTAAGCGTTCCAAGCACGCGTAACGCCACAATAACTAGTTCGTAGGAGGCAGGCATCAGTTCACAAGACAGCTCGTGCTGCTTTGTGCTCTGCTCGCACAGACCCTCTGCGGGGTCATCGCTCAAGCAGAAAAACTACAGCTCCCATGATGCATGGAAGCAGCGGTGGCGTAATGAAACTGGCTGCAACATCGGTCTCTTGGTGCCCATAGGCTTACCGAGAATAGTGGGTTTTAGAATAGCATGTGCAAAAGCTTTGCGCATACAAAAGAAATAGTGCTGCTGCCACTGCGCAAGCACCGGACATAAGCCACGTTCTGGATTAGAGCACGCCAACGTCGCCATTTATTAATGCGAAAACATCAGCTGTCCCCTAGAGCGAACCGACATCATCAGCTTTGAAACCACTCCAAACGCTTTCCAAACGGCACCTAAAATCTCCTTTCCCAAGGGAAGCCGATTTGTCATGTATTATGCTCCCATTGGCTCTTGTGCGGCGTAATTCCAAAAAAAGCCACCAGAGAAGCCCTCTCCATAGCGGCGCAGCACACACAGCAGCGCGCCCGCCGGTAAGAGGAGGGATCGGTGGCGACAGAGCCAGAGCTTGTCCGGGCACACTCCAGAGAGGCCGCACGACTGAGCTCAGTGTGGCACCGCCATGTCATGAAAGCATGCGCTTGGCCATCTGCCAGCGACATGTGGCCAGTCACACCACTACACCACAGAAAAACCAAGGGAGCGGTAGAACGACATTCATGCTTTCGCATTCACAACTCAAAAGAAGTAGAGGTGTGCAAATATCAAAATCTTTCAAAGCGAATTGAATTGAATAATAAGGGTTACAAATCGAATCGCGTCAAATCTTTTCCAATAACAACATTTTTTAAAAATATTTTGTATTTGATGTGAATTAAGAGGAGACACTGCTCTTAGAGGCAAAAATATAATAAGAAAACATTTTTTAATTGTGGTTTTTGAAGATTCGCAGACACTTTTCGTCTTGTCCTGAACGAGTTTTATTAAACAAGTCTCTTATCTTGAAATATTGTCTTGGAAACGAAGAAAAATTGCTCAGGGGATGTTTTTTTGATATTATTTGTGTGCTTACGATGATACACGTGCCGTTACAACTTCATCAAATTTATCGCAGCGTTTGCGTCACAACCACTTTGTCAACTCCGGAATCCAGACGTCATGACAAGCAGAGGACGGACTGCGCTACCACACATAACTTTCCAGTGCATCATATAAAAAAAAAGAAAAAAAAAAAAAAAGGAACTTAGGTTGGCGTCCTGGGTTTCTCCAAACACAAGACAGGGAACTCGACCGCGAGTTCACGCTAAATGGCGAGTTACGCATTACTCATAGTTTCCGAAGTATTCGAAGAACTCAATACTTCGAACATCGAAAGTGCGAAGCGAATCGAATCGAATAGCAAGCATTATTCACCAAGTATTCAAAGTTTGAAATATTCGCAAACCTTTAATAAGAAGTGCTTAGGTGTCCTCAATCTTTTTTTGCGTATGCCGTTCTAAAACTCGCTGACTCCTAACTATTCTAAATTACTACGGCTCCCTTCCTCTCAAAGGAAGACCCAAAAGAAAAAGCAGAAACTACCGATTTCTACGAGACAGCGTAATGCTGTGCGACATTGCAGCTCACAGCTTGCTAAGAGGAGACAACAGCCCAAAAAAGTCACGAGGACAAGTAGACAAGTAGACAAAAGAAAAAAGTCACGAGAACAAGTAGACAACAGACATAAACACAGCACTGTGTTTGTGTCCTTCATCTACTTTGACCTTGTGTCTTTTTTTAGGTGTTTCTTCCTGCTCCCAATATGCACCAACTAGCCCACTCTTAAAATTTTATTACAGCTCATAGCTGCAGTCAAACGCACAACTCATCGGTGAAAAAAGCTTCCACATTTATCGACAATATGTCCCTGCAACACGAATGGCCCCGAGCTCAGGAGAAACAAAAGCCTGCGTCTTCTTCCACAGAGCCGAAAACTAAGCTACTCTCCAGAAAGACAACACTTCAGCCGCTTTGTCGTTTTAAATCATAGTTTTTATTTATCTAAAATTGTGGCAAACACTTTTCTGTCCTTTAAAAATGTAAAAACGATCGGCGACGGAGCAAAACAACATTGTCCGAGGATCCCGAGACCGTGTCCAAACTCCTGGAAACCGCACTTTTAAACCAGAACTGCCACAAATTCCGCACTGGGCAACAAAATGGCGGCACCCGCGATATGAATGCACCGTCAACACTCAGAGTGTAAATTATCTGGCGGCTCTATACTCCCTAGGCGAGATCCTGCAGTTTGTTCGCCCGTGCGTACATCCAGCTGCCAAAGAAAAATTCGGTCAGTGGCGTTTCGAGAGTAGGGCTTGGCGAGTCCCGAGCAATCACTATTGCTCCCAGCCAATGGGTTGCGGCATCGGCCGACAAGAAGGCCGAACGACGAATTACAAAGCGAGAAATGTGAACGTTACAAAAAAACACCCTATTCAAAATTTTGGTAATACTATAGCTGATATACCTCGAAATTGCTTCAACACATTAAGAGACACATTTGAGCTACTAGTACCACAAACTGTGAGTCGCAACAATTTTTTAAAGTTATTGAAGTTTTAATTTTAGTCCAAGAGGTCGAGAGGCTCTACTGGCAACAATGAAGAATGAGTAAAGCTTAAGTATTCGAAAAGTAAGTTCAGTTTGGGTAGCTCTAAAAAATGCAGGGCGAATTGCTAGGCAATTGTGTTACATGCGTGAAACCTTCTAGCATCACAAATGCTTAGTGATACTGTGAGTTGCAAGTCGCAGACACCTACGTCCACGGCGCTCTTCAGCCGATAGTTTAACACTTAGCATATGTACACTTGATAGTTGTTCTCAGAATGAAGCGGTACCACCACTAATAGGGCTGATAAACCTGGCGATCTTCCAGAGCCTTCCATACTCTCAAGATCCTCTCTACCTGTGGGCACAGGTGGTCGAGCTCCTCCTCCTCGCCTACCCCTCTGGTCACATGACCTCCCTGGTAACCAATCAGCATCGAGCATCTCACTCCTCTTCTCCCACCGTTCAACCAATTGGTTTTGAGCCTTGAGGCCACGCTTTCATCCAGGCTTCACGAAATGCGGAACACCTAGCCAAAGAATGTTTCACGTTAAAATGTGACAAAGTGCCACGTTGCCGTTTGCCGGATGCAGAGCAAATGCCCCGCAGGGCTTTCCCGTTAAATAGCACCTCGACTCATGACGATGTGTCGTGACACGATTGAAAGACACTCGCTTATTAATTTAGATGGTCTAGGTTAAATTCCCGCATGGCGCAAACGCCTTTTTACCACGATGACCTCTTCCCCCCCACCCTCCAAGTCAAAACCAATCGGTGTCGAACCTCGTGGCCACGCTTTTATCTGGGCTTCACGAAATGCTGAACAGCTAGCCAAAAACATTTCACGTTAAAACTGCAGGAGCTTTAAGCCGCCAGCAACCACAGTGAGCGGGACCTCACCTCTCGTGGTGAAGGTGGTGTGTGCCTGGCTGTCGACCGTGCCGCCGTTGTCCGGCTTGGTTGCGCTTCCGGCGGCGGGCAGGTTGTTGTAGATGCGCTTGTAGTGATTGTACACCGCCACGGAAAGCACCTTCTTGGCATAGTTCTGCCCTATCACGTGCTGGTTCAGGTACTCGTAGATCTGTGGGGCAGAGGAAACCGCTTTTGTTCACGCCTTCTGAGTCTGCCGTAGTCCGTCGCAACGCGAGGTTGGCAAAAGACATGCCGCCTCCGGCACACGCTCGTCGCCTTCCGGCATGTTTGGCTGCATGTGCGCCGAAGGTAGAAAGCTTGTGCTGGAGGCAGGGCACCTATCACCGATCTTATGTTGCAACGAACAACTATAAGTCATTCTCTTACAAGGGGCACTACAGAAGCCTACGAGTCTATGTTTTCGTGGCAATAACCCAATCTATGCAATCCACGCAACTGAAAGAACCCGAAATTACGATAATGCGCAGCCTATTTCTCCAATAGCAATATGGCTGAAGATCACGATACCTATGCCCCTTTTCCTGACAGCTTATCAGGAAAAAAACAAAGGACGCATCACAATCTTCGATTATGTTTTTAATAAGATAATACCTAGCTCGCGGATTATCATGATTCTGGGTCTTATAGCACCCCTCGAGCCCACAGATTGAGTTATCGCAATAGAAAGACAACTTCAGAAATTTCTTTAGGGCCTTTCTAACTTCAGCAAGTTCAAAGTACAACACTTTCATGGAGTACTGAAGCCATTGAAAAAATGCAGCGCGACATGCTGACACGTCTATGACACCATAGATTATCTGTAGTTTGTTTTAAAGTTGTAAAACCTAAAACTGCTCATGGACTTTTAATAATTCTGAAAAGATGGGTGAGTGCATTTCAGTGGCATCCCTAACGCTAAGGAACATCCACTGAACAACATAAGAGGAAAATCATAAAGAGGCAAACCATGCTGCACGACAAAGTTAGCACAAACACAGCTTTAAGACTTTTCTGTGTTTTCTTTAGAAAGGTTGAGTGTCAAACCCCAAATCTTGCAACCTAAATTGGCATCTCATGTAAGTGCATTCCACCCCTCTAGTAGTTCATCTTGATGACAGCCTATTTGCAGTGAAAGGAATATGGGAAAAACTTGAGATTGCGTGTTTGTGCTAAACGTATCGCACTTGGTACAGTTGGTACTCCTGCACTAAGCAATAAAGTATCCCCATATCCCATTAATGATAATCCACACTTTTGGGCTGTGGGTAGTGCCAATTTCTTATTGCCAATCCGTACAATCACTCCCTTCTGTAGGTTTCAGAGGACCAGAATGTGTTAAGTTTCAGCTACATTATGCCACAATTTCCATAGAAACACGGACACCCAGCAAGTGGCTGGCTAGCAAAGGTTTGTGCATTTGTGCCTCGCCTATCTGTCTAGCCTCGCCAGCCACCCAGAGTACCACTACTGTTACTAATAAAGATTACTAATAATTAATTTATTATTAAACGAGTGTATGAATGAACAAAGGTTTGCCGGGAAGGCTGCTCACCTTTTTGGGTGGTGGCGGAGGCTTGCGGACGGCGCCGGACTTGTCGGAGCCGATCCGTGCCTCCTTCAGGGTCTTTTTAGTGTCCACATCCGAGAGGACTACGAAGAAGTGGTGGCACTTGTCGCACTTCACAAACCTCGTCGACGCTGGGGACAGAACCGAGGCATTATTAATTACCGTACAATCGGATACTGGCAATGAGCTCAAGCTGGTGCCTGCACTCAATCGGGTGTCGTTACTAAGGACACCTTCGTTTCCCCCCAAAATCGTCCATAATGTGCACTGCTTTTAGTAACGAGACAAAAATGCACACATTTGCCCACTTTGTCTCTGAAAATGTTGTCTATGTTGCCACGCATGTCGCCGATCGAGTGCAGGCGTGGCCGAATGGTTACCGTGCTTGGCTTTTGCGCGGAGGCCCCCGGATCGATTCCTGGAAGCGAAAGCTCCTTTTATTTATTCTTTCAACTTAGCGTTTTCGTAAGTTCAAGAACCTTGTCATCTCATCAAGTTCCGAATGTCCTGCATGCCGAACGTTCTATGCCGAATGTTCCAGAAGCCTATGTGGGTACACAAGGTGCTCCGCGTGGCGGTCCGAGGTCAGTTTTGCTCTTGCGCTCGATCGAGCTACTCCGTCGACCTTAGACGCCTGCGACGCTACCTCTTTGTTTTGTTTTGAGTACAAGTTTGACCCTATTAAACGTTTAGTTTGCTTCAGTTTTCGTTGCCTCATCAATCTTCATTCGTGGCAATATAGTGGGGTACCCATATTAACCGGGCCACTTATATTGTGGCACAACTGTAATTGGTTGCCCAAGCACAATATCCACCAGCTTTCAAGTTAATGACTGAGGGGTAATGTACGGGTACCAGTAGCCAAACATAGATAAAGCAGGCAAAACTATAGCGGAAAAAACGAGAACGCGAAACGGCGACAGGGCAAGTAATGCAGCAAATGTGCCATGGTCACCGACAGGATCAGAACAACAGAGAGGTACTTCAATTGTTCCACCTCCGGCACAAGTTTCTTCGACATCGCTGCGACGTCTTGTAAGCCTTGAGTGCGCACAAGCAGCCCGAGCACGACAGAAGGTAATGAGCGCATGCCGGATGCCAGGCATCATAAAGAGACGCCCCGCCGTCCCCACTTCGTTGTCGGTGACCATGGCAGACGGAAAGAGGGCGAGACCAGAAGACGAGCAGAGCAAACAGACGAGCAGACAGAGCAGCAGACAAAACACAGAAAACAAAAATCCTTAAGCCGCAGTCATACCGCTAATACACCGTACAAAAGACAGTCTGCAACACTATCCGAGGCGTGTTTCTTCCTCGTACAAAGGCCTTGTCCTATTGGTCGCACGAAAACCGTCTGCAGGCATGTTCAAAACACGGATATGTACAAAGCAAACATGCTTCAAACATGCTTAAGGCGCGATACTTCTGTCGTCACGTCGGCAGTGAACACGGTGTCCTTTGTACGATCCACGAGCTGTATGACTGGGGCTTTAAATTACGAGAGGAGATGGACAAAAGCATGTTGCAAGCAGGACATCTTGAAACAAGGTGGGTGATAAGGCAAACCAGCAAACCGGCCTTCGGAGAGCAACGCAGGGACTCACAGACAAAGGTCTCGACGTGCGTGCATGGATTGCCGCACTTGGGGCAGCACAGGTGTCCGTCCCTGTTGCCACCCCTGCCTCCGGCAGAACTGGCCCCGGTGCCCTTGTCCATGTTGCCTCCTCCGCCGGCGTTGCCGCGAAGCCCAGTGTCCCCATCGCCACTCCCGCCGACCGCTGTGCGGAGCGTGGCCACCAGAAGCAACCGGTGGTCGGGGAAGCCGGAACACAACGGTGGTAAAAGACTCTTCCGGAGTGGACTAGAGACACCCTGACCGCCCTGCGACAACCGGTCTTCTGCAACGAGACGGAATGGGACACAAAAGATATGGATGGCACTTTTAATTGCAGAATGTGTTCCATCGGCCGAACCTCCCAAAAAACCGTCATGAAAAACCGTCACGAAGAGTGTCATGAAGGACGGCCACCATCAGACATCAATTTTGCCCGCTAAATATGTTGGGGAAATTAATGTCACGTGACCCGAAGCCATGTGGCGACAATTTCTGCAAGGTGGTAGTTTGCGTTCAAATCATTGCGTGCTCACTGGTCTTGCGTGATTGATCTTGTGTAACTTTTTAAGGACCAACTTAAAAAGGCCATGAAATGGTTTCTGAACTACAGCACGATTAGGCTCGAGATTAGTCGCCGTCTCCTATAAACTGCAGAACTGAAAACTGATTTTGCTTGTGTAACAGTGTGTGTGGACCAGGAAAGATGCAGCGTAAAGGTTGAAAGGAGTGTGTGCACGTGTGCAAGAAAAGGTGAGCACCGAGACTGGGTTGTTCAAGCCTGAGATAAGCGTCCAGTGACAAAAGGTCTTCGGCATGCTATAGGTGGTGAAGGTGGTGAGATTCAAACTCGTGCTACTTTTTATTTACAAAAAAAATTGAACAGATTGGGGTGTGAGAAACCTCTGTTTTACGCTCTCTCCCGAGCCCCGTGTGTAGTGACATACCATAGGGAATGTGAAGCTTTCGGCTCTGCAATTTCTTCAGCGGAATATAATCCATGTCACCTTACGACAGACCATCGCAGATGCTACAAGCCATCCAGTCAATCCAACGTCACGTGACAGTGCGCAACCCCGCGCCTCCTGAAAGACATGCAACACTCACGCGGCTTTGGATTGGTTTCGATGGCATGACATATCCACTGTGGAACATCAGAAGGTGAGATGGAGCATAGCAAGCATTATGCTACAAGGAGAACTGTTCCCTCCCACTAACCCATGCCCTCACAATTTCTTTTGTCCTCGGAGAGCGAGGATAGGTACCGCGCGGACAGGAAGACTGGATGGTTTTGTGGGCTTGGAGTAGCTGGCACCACTGAATCTCTCATGTAATAAAGTCTTGGCAGTGATACAAGGCTTTTGACATACTCATTGACAGGATTTATAAAATGGCTTTAAATTGATCTTGCTTATTCAGTACGGGCTACCTTGACATACGTCACGAAATGTCCCACTGTGGTTCTCATAAAGGTTACAGGCCGGGGAATATAATAGAGCAGAATCACAAATATTCTGGGAAAAGGTGACAGGTTTCATTTTTACCTGCACCAAGACAAAGAAAAGAAAGTAACAAAGTTCAAAAACAAAGTTCAAGCTCTTTCTCGCAGTAAAATCGTGTCATGGCCCTTTTAACAATGCAGCCCAAGGTTAAAGGGCACTCTGGTCGAAAACGAAATCAAAATAAATGGCAGGTATCATTAATATGTCACAAAATATGATCACAGCCGAAATATAATGTCAAAGCGAAGCCACATACTCCACTAAAACCGATTTTAAAGATGCGACCAGCTGCTCTTTAGCGGACGGCAAGCGAGTTAGCTTTTAGTCTAGGAATACTGGCGCAGCACCCCCGTGACATCCCGTCGCGGGGCAGTTGCGGATGATTTCGCACATTGTACCGCAGCACCACGGTGACGTCACATCACGACCGTATGGCTGATGATCGATGTTGCCATCTCTCTAGCACAGGGGTCTCCAAACTCTGGTCCGCGGAAGTCTTCTGACCGGGCGGCTGACCGAGGTCTTGCCAACGAGAACCGACCCGCAGCCCAATTCCAGCAGATCCGGGCTAGCGGTGCAAAATGAAGTGCTTTGCGTCTGCATAACTATATAAAAAGTCCACTGCACTCTCATGTACATACTGCACTTCCCTGTCCTCTGTCACAACTACTGCATATTGTCAGAATTACCTAGTTTTATCATTTTCATTAGTCTTCTGCCCTTTTGGAACATGCCAAGGTTCCCATGCACTTTTGATTTATGCCTGGTGGGTTTTTCTGGTCACAAGTGTTGTGTAACGTGACGATTAGCTAGATCAGTCGTTCTCAACCATCGATGTTTTGCGGACCCCTTGTGGATCGGCGGAGATGATGGAGGACCCCGTTCGTAGTGAGGGGAAGGGAAAGGTATAGGTTAAATATAATAATGATTAAATAAATGGATATAACTAAGGGCTAAAGTGAAGTATACTTGTCTTGTTGATATACACACGAGAAAACACGCCCGAAAACTGAAACATTTCTTCTCAACCTGAAAAAAGACAACTTTTATTGCCGCGCATGACTGATGAGGCAGGGCTTCGCGGACCCCTAGAATGCCTTCGCAGACTCCGATCTGAGAACCACTGAGCTAGATATTAAATTTATTTGAAGTATGTATATTCATACAACTTTTTTTTTTTTTTTTTAATACTTACTCTAACATTAATTTCTGCATTTACATGCTTATATGGGTTTATTTAGTTAGTTTTTCTATGTTCATATTCACTCTTTTTTTTTTTTTTTCTGGCCTTCAAGACTGAGAAAGATCGCTAACCCGGCCCCTGGCCAAAAAGGTTTGAGACCCCTGCTCTAGCAGATAGTTTCTGTCTTGCCGTAGATGCTCGAAACCGAACTTTGAGCAGTGATAGTATTTATAAAACTACACACAATATTGAGAAAAAATTTAAAAAAAATTGCACCTTATAATTTAGGGGTTTCCTTAGCTGAAAACAGTCGTAATCCCAAATTAAAAAATACCGACCCCAGTTGCCCTCTAACAAAACAAGTCACACAAAGGACATTTCAAAGGAAACAGCTGCTTGCAAATTGCCATTTCTCTTATGCTTTCCGACGCTTGCAGCCCTTTCGAGTTATGCCCAAAACAGAGAAAATGGCAAACTCCAATGAGTAAATGTAACGCATATCACATCCCTGATCGTGAAACACAATATATGATGTGGCAAAATTCTGTACATAATTTATGATTCAATATTTGTCCATTTGTTTAGGCTTCAGTTTCCGAGATCTCAGGATGAGGTCACAGGCCAAGGAGCGCAACTGCAGAGGCAGCCACGTGAGACCAAAAAGCTGTAATGTGGCGGTACAGGTGTGCTCAATATGCTAGACTGAAAGCAGACGACAAAGCTGCGCCGCCTCACAGGTTTTTGGGCTCGTCTGACTGTCGCCATATTTGTGCTCCCTGGTCTGTGACAAATCCCAGCCCCAGCAATCAAATCCGGTAATAAATTGCTCACAAAAATTTGGCACATTTTATGCTACATACCATGATCAGTTGTGCAATATGCATTATTTAGAGTAAACTGAAAATGCAAAGCAAAAATGGAATGTGTCTATTCCTTTACTCCAGGTTTCCCAAGAGTTAGAATAGGCTGAATGCTGACCTCGCGTACTTCCCAAAAATGATCGTACAGGCGGTAGTTTTGTTTAAAAAAAACTCACTCTTTGCAACTTTTCTCAGAAAGAAGGACCGCGTGGGGTTGACCCTGCATCTTATGGCCGACATCTCAACTGCAAGTGAGGCACAAAAATAAGGGTCAAAGATTAATGCACATGCTCCACAAAGAAAGAAAGGCAAACAGAAGATGCAAAACACAATCAACAAAAAGCTCTGTTTTGTTACAAGTTTTGCCACCCTACTATATTTAGTTGGAAGCAACCTCAGCACCACTAGACCCTCCCACTCCTCCGACAGTAAATCAAGTGCACAGCAGTTGACAGGTCTTTAGCCGAGTCACCATACTTGACAACCTGGGCACACAAAGGAATATAATAGCCCTCGCTTATCTGTTTTTCTAAGAGCTATTTTGGGGCAGAAAACACGACTGATAAGCAGCAGCTGACCTAGCACGGCTCGCTCAGTCCTGGCTTATGCCATTTTCGGTTCAGGGCCGAAAGACCTCTCCCCCACAGACTAGAGCCTCTCCTTCCGAGCGAACTCAATCGATTAATTAATTTGTGCGAGACAAACTCCCGTCAAAGCTGACAGACCCGTGGTACCGCCAAGCATTAGGATTCACATGTTATGTGAACTAGGAAGATTATAAAATTTATCCTTGTACTTATTACAACCTTTGATGGCAGAGTGAGAAAGGCAGGGCATGCCTTTTGAATGCCCGACCTCCAACACGCTCTCCATGCCTTCCTCCGTGCTTTGGCCAAAGGGTCGTCGAGGGTAGGAAGTTCATGCTAGAGGCGGGACAACTGAAGCCACCTCGTGCCCTTTCCACCTCGTCCGTGGCTACAGGGCCCTAAACGTGGTGATAATCGAAGCACATGTCGAGTAGTGTACGAATGTTTTATATCGGGACTAAGCCAACTTTTCTTTATTTTCGTGCCCCGACCACTTCAAAGCTGCATAATAAAGAGCTTTTCCCCCTTGTCTTTCAAAAGTGTCAGCCTTGTCTATGCGTTTTGAGAATTCTTATGAGCCCCAATTTGCTCCTCAAAAACACGACAGAACATTCACAGCTTTCCCTCTCTACCTTGAGAGGTGCTTCCACTCGTAGCTTCTGCAGTGCTTCTGCCGAAGCTAGTTGCGAGAGTGCACGCGAATGAGACGCAGGACAAAAAAGCCACATTCTCTTGCAGAAATGTGGGGCTGCAGCAGTGTGGAAAGTACGATAGCCTTGACAATGTAGCACAAAATAGCTGATGCCGAGTATAGGGGCAGGACAGCAGAGGAGGAAAACAGAGCAATGAAAGGGCTCTGGAAGGATTTGATTAACTGACTCTACTGACAGTGATCCTTTCCTTCTCAGCCTCTTACAACATTACTACCACAACTTTCATGGATCACTGTCCTGAATGCGGTGTCAAGAGAGGCGCGTTCTGCCTGTACGAGGAACAGGCAAGGCATGGCGATTCAGGCGACGACGATTGCAGTTTAATTCTTTTCCCTTGTTCCAAATCAGTTTTTAGATCCTCGTACAAGAGTTGTTCGCTGTAGTTGTTCCTAAAATGTTGACACTGAATGCATCTCCTGCCTTCCTTCCGTAACTGTCCCTCCTCCTGTTTGGCATTTCTGCTCACAAGGCTCAGTGCCACTGACAATGCCACACCACATTTCGGTTTCGGAGAGAGATGCATTCAAACTCATGACTATGCTGCGTCCACAAAGATAACCAATCAAGCACGATCCAGACGCAGATGTCTAGTACAGATCAAACTGAGCAAAGCTTCCCCTTCAACTACACTACCACACTCCTCTATGCCAGTGCCATCTGCTATAGAAGGTCACTCCTCCACCTAACGATAACCACGATGACGACTTCACGGCACTTTGCACAGATGTTCATCGCTCCATGTCCCATGCTGCAACGTGAATGACAGAAAATGGGCACACAAGCTTAATGCAGTAGTCGGGATAATAAAATATACAATCCCTGGAGCAAGCAGCATGCCTAAGGGTGAACATATCTTCTCTAACAATCCAACAAACGGCAGCTGGTATACTGCCTATACATGGCATGTATAGGCAGCTGGTATACTGCCTATACATGGCATGTGCTGACGTATCAGTAGCCATGTGAAGGACCTTGCTGCTGTTTGCGTGCCCTGTGCAGCGTAGATTTCACACCACTAAATTTGACTTCCTCAACAAGAACAAGCAGGAATGGCCATTCGTACGGTGCAATGATGCCAAATGCAAGCCGTGTATACATATGCACTTCACAGCTCTGTATGTGTCATATGCTCATGCAAGCCGTGTATACATATGCACTTTACAGCTCTGTATGTGTCATATGCTCATGCAGAAGTCTCAGGAAAAGTGGGAGAATATTGTTGTCATACACAGTTTTTCCTTTTAGTTTATTATTAAAACTATCCAAGACTGGAATGTACTGCAGAAAGAAGTTATTACTGTTGCCGATGGCACTCACTTTTGGAATACATTAGATATACAATGTGCAGGTAAACATACTTCTTGCTTGCTATGTGCATGTATTTTTGGTGTTTGCCCTCTGCATATAATGCCTAATGACACAGAAGGTATACATGTAAATAAATAAACAATGGCACATGGACAAAAAAAATTAGCGAAAGTAATCTAAGAGCCTTTTTTCCTTCAAGATCAACAGCCACCAGCTTGTTGTTGTCTCTGCAAGATAAGATGGCAGTCGTGATATCCAAACATCGAAGGAATAGCCAAGCCAGTTCCAGACACACTCAGTCATGCAACTCGAAAACATTAAGGCGCAGCATCTGAGCGGCAGAAAGTATTACTCACTCGTTTATCAAGTAACGATTTACGTGAAATATGGCAGGCGATCTTATCAATCGTTGCAACGCATGTACCTCGTGGTAATTTTGTTTCTCGCTAGAACAGTTTTCTTCCAGCGCGTGTGACATGATCGCCTCGGTCGTATTTAGTTACATTACCACCGCGTGTACGAGACATGTCACATTTTTCATTACCTGCACGATCCAGGCGATGAAACAAGAAGGGAACTCGTGCGGCCGATATTGCATAACTCGGCCGTCCTTATCTCGCACGACTGGAGACCTATCACGTATTGCTGGGTTCCGGACGCGAGCAGAAAGGTTCAATAAACTTGGGTGTTTTTCCGAGAGAGCAATGTCGGAACTTGGAGTTTGGTGCGCAGAACACGGGAGAAAACAACAAGAATGCGTGCGTGCGGGACTCTTTAAAATGGTTCGCGTAAAACAGTCACCGAGAGAGTGTACGGGTGCAGAAAGAGCTGGTTGACTGCAATCGCATTCGCTGCGTCGCGTCTCCGTACGCACTCTAGGATTCGCCGAAATTCGTTCGGGTTTCGTAGGTATAAGCCTAAAGGGAAGCGGCGAGTCAGTCAACACAAGATGAGGGGTGTTGTTGAGTCGTGCGAAGTCCTTACCTCGGCGAGAAGTGAAGGGGGGGCCGTTTTCGATCTAAAACTTCCGCTGGAGAAACTGCCGTGCGTGCGCCCGCAATTTTGTGCCGCGCATGAAAGTGGATCGGGAACGCAGCCTCCGCTCGACTTGCACAACTCGCGTCAGTGAAAGTGAACCGGAGATCCCAAAGCATTCATTTCTCGGCTGGCCTAGTGAACGTCAGGTCAGGGGCTGGTCGGGTGCCTCGCTGTGCTTTTCCGGCGCGCCTCTAGAGGGTGCCACGTGATTGCGGTTCCAGCAACAGTAGCAACAACCGCAACCTCGTACAACATTTCAAAAGTGGAACCACAAAATTTAAAAAAAATAAGAAAATTTACAAAATAAAATTGTGTAAAAAGTAATTCATTATTTATTTTTATTCAGTGTGGCTTTTGGATTCGAAGTAAACTCTGTTGACTGAATGACGTCAGGCGAGTGATTCGGTTGTTGAGTTGTTGTGAAGATTGTCTAAAAATTCATTTGTACGGAATTTACTCAACGTTTGTAATAAATATATAATTTATATTTTGTTACGGACGCTAGCGAACCCCTAGTTCGTGTACATCTGTACCAACCTCGTTGCTAGCGTTGGTTGCTTGCCGTATCGTGGTAAACATCAGTTTTCGCTTTCATTGCGTGTTTTGAATCCAATCCAATCCAATCGTCGTGGGCATCGTTCGTGTGTGAAACGTTCTTGCGTTGCAGCGTGGTACGTGGTTTGTCGGCGGTTTCCTACCGTTCCGATCAAAAAAGTCATTCGCCATGGCCGACGACGAGTATGAGGCGGACGACGTCGGCGGCGGTGACGACTTTGACGACGTGGACGAGGACGAGAACCTCGACGAGATCGACCAGAACGACGACGAGAACATCGAGCTCCTGCAGGCGTCTGACGGCCAGCCGCAACAGAACCAGAAACGCATCACGACCATGTATATGACCAAGTACGAGCGTGCCAGAGTGCTTGGGACACGAGCGTTACAGATCGCCATGTGTGCTCCGGTGATGGTTGAGCTCGAGGGCGAAACGGACCCGCTTCAGATTGCCATGAAGGAGCTCAAGGCGCGCAAGATACCGATCATCATTCGGAGGTACCTCCCCGACGGCAGTTACGAGGACTGGGGCATTGATGAACTCATTATCACCGACTGAACAGCCCGATTATGAGCCGAACCCCTTGAACGCTGCCCGTGTGCGACGCAGTAGCACCTTCGCTGTACCACGGTGTCGATGCCTGGTGCTACGCAATAAAGCAGTCCTCGTTGACGGCTAACTGTGTGCATCGTTTAATGAGACTTGAGGCGAGAACGGCAGGAAGAAGGTTCGGTCGTTCCGCCTCCAGCGCGAGTTTATTACCTTCGACAAGCTTCCCGTACACTTCGAGTGTGCTGCTAAAGCACAGTGAAAGGCACGGAGTGCGTGCTGGAGTCTGGGTGTTCGAAAGACATGCCCTGCCGCTCTCATTCTGGTAGTGACTATAGTTGATGTATGATACTCAGGAAACTTCTAATCACAAATAGAGACAGACACGAATGATGTCGAAAGCGGTTGTCCATGTCCCCTTCTTCGTGTCCGTGTGTTCGTGCTTACAAGTGTCCTGAGATATATTGTTTCCTTTACATACTTAGAAAGAAGTTGGGTCCTTTGTGACGCGTAATGGAAGCACACATTGGGGCGCAGGAAAACCTTTTCGTAAGGTGGATGATCGATTTCTGGGTTGGCGGTTCAGCGATTCAGCATCCGTCAGTTTTGAAGAGATGCATATGTGCGTTTCTAAATGTGTGGCGTTACTCTCTCTTCTGTGGCCTTGCAATTGGTGGGAGTGATCGACTGCCTAGCACACTGTCGTGATGACATCGGGCAATCGCAACAAAATTGCCAAACGAATGGGGAATCTGGCAGCTTCAATGTGGATCTTCCCTTTGAAGGACTCCTTGTTGGCCCCACCATTGTCACTGACATAAAGCCGGGCCATGGCTCAGACTTCTTGCTTCATGATTTGTTCTTCTGTATTCTTATCGCATAATGCCGCAAGCTCATTGGCTGCGGTGTAATAATCTATGAAGAGATGCACGACAAGTAGAGGGTATTTATTTCCGTTTTGATATCCATCCGTACCTCAATGTGCACATCTTTCCCTAGTAGCCAGTGCCCATTCATTGGCCCTCGCATGGGCTCCGGATATTCCACCTGAAAATAAGGATGCATGATAGAGAGGCAAATAATAGAAAGCCAGAGTGGGATGTCTGGGGCCAATGGAATGGTATCATTCAAAGTGCCTGGACAGGCGTGTCGGGGATGACGTTCCCTAGGTCAGTACTCTATCCGAAAGTGAACGGTCGCACACGCACGGTGTCACAGCTGTGAGTAGCTCTTGAAAAGTTTGGTTTCAGAAACCGGCACATTATGATTGCTAACTTTAATGTGCGGCATGCATACTTGAGTACTAGATTACTTTAGAAATGAAATTTAATTAGTTAAGACAACTTTGTTTCCCAAAGTAGTTGATTACAATTAGGTGTTCTTTTCCTGCTAGAGCTTCCCGACGTCGATAAGGTGATAGCGTTTTTTTTTACATTAGGGTGGATTGATTCGTTCCTTGTCTCACCCTTGAGGAAACATGCCACATCTTAACTTCATCACATTTGGGGCCTCTGGTTTACCTACTTCATTAATAACTTGATACTAAGTGTTTGTTTGAAATGTGTCAGTTGTTTTATTATTTTTTAACACCACCAACATTGCCAGTGCTTTTTTTTTTTACCGTAGCAGTTTAAAGTAAACATCAGTTAGTGTTAGTAGGGAGCTTTAGAATAGCGCACGCTAAAGCTTTGCGCACGCAAAGAATAGCGTCTTCGCCACTGCGCATGCTCCGAACGCAAAGCAGGTTTTGCGCTTTGCGTTTTCAATTTTAGCGTGCGCTATTTCTCGGAAATAGCGTGCGTACGCAAAGAGTCTTTGCGCTTCTCCAAAGAGGATCCATGATGAGAAGTTTACTAAAGCCAAGACGAGCAGAGTTAAGCGAAAATGGCGGCTTCCAGGATTATATCAGCGGCTGCTTTGGCGGCGTCGTGAGTGCGACGTCGGCGGCATCCTCGCGACTGCGATTTTCAATACGAGATGAAATTGTACTCGGTTTGGCAACGATCACCGGCAACTTGATGCTTGCGACGCGCGAACACTTCTCGGCGAAGGTACGATGTGCGAAGGTCAGTATACACGAGACCTCTCTAGCCGAGGCGACGCAAGCGGGCACGACCGGTCAACCGCTCGCGTCTCATTCTCGTGTTTAAACAAATCTAAAATGGTACCCTGGACCAAAAACTTGTTTCTTTCTAAAGTTACGGAATTTTGTGTGTGAAATAAAAATTGTGACTGTATCTTGGTGGCGTCGCAAGCGCGAGATGCTTGGGCTTTTGCGTCGCGACGGAGAAACGCTATTCTAAAACTCTCTTGCGTCGCGGGCGCTAATACAAGCGCTAAATTTAGCGCTAGCGTGCGCTAAGATTGCGCACGTTATTCTAAAACTCCCTAGTATAGGCACTGAAAAAATATAGAACTAAATACAGTGGTTTCTACTCCAGGCGTTTTGGCTAGGGGGCCGGATTGGGGACCTGTTGCAGTCTCGAGGGCCGGAAATTAGGTAACACAATATAAACGAAAAAATATTAAATGAATAATCATGAAAAAAAAAAAAATTATGTGTGGTGGACAAACAGATATACTGTAAAACCCTTATTATTATCGAGCCACATTTTCGCAACAATTAAGGGCACGCGAAAATTTCGGTCCGTAAGAGTTTCAATGCAGGTGTCTGGAATTCGTGAATTTTAGTGGCCGCGATTATGTTCTTTATGACCGATTCGCGGAAAATAGTGGCACCGAAAAGAAATAGTTCTACAGTATTACTTTAGTTTTATGTGCAATATATTGTACTATTTATAACATTACAAAATGAATGTGAGCGCGAGAACTCGCCAGACATACATCAAAGCACGTAGGAAATTCGACAAATTTACACAGGGCTAAAGAATAAAAAAATGGTAGATCAAATCAGATCACTATGTACGATATACGCGAAAATGCAAAGCAATTTTTTCATAGTTACACAGACACGAAGCAGGGAACTATGAATAGTCATTCTGGCCATGAAAATGTACAATAAATAGTATGGCGAGGGAACCGGCGTTTTGATGCTGTTTTCTAGAAACGTGCGAATAGTGGATTTTGAGTTTAAATGAAATAGTTGTTTTGGCCGAATATTTTCAAAATGAATACCAGATAGTTTCTCGAAGCTTTTCACTACTGCACCTTGCCTAAACAAAGGCCCATCTGAACTCGTCACGGTCGTTCCCAAGCTTCCACTCGTTCATAGCTAAGCTAATTTTAATCTATCTATATTTATGAGCTATGACCTCAGAAAATGCCTGAATGGGAATGACAAGTAAACAATGCATTTGGCTAATTGAGGAGATTTATAAATATTCTTGCTATATGCAAATATCCTTTATTAAATTTAAAATATGAGAATGAAAAAAAAAGACAATCATGAACGATGAACGTAGGTTGTCAAGACACCTGTGCCCAACCTATATTCTTGCATAATAGCCACAGTTTAATTTTTAGAATTGTACTGTAGTGTTTATTTCAACATTCAGAAAGTTTCCGTTTCTTTTTACATACACCACGCGCGCGTGCACCATCCCGCATTGAAAGTGGGCTTTCTTCTTAAGAAGTGACTGCAATATTTGTACTTTTCAAAGTGTTGATCGCGGCGGATTAGTCCCGCTGCGTGCGCTTCCTGCGGAGCACTGGTGTACGGCGGAGAAGCAACACCCGCGAAAGCGAGCTCAGCGGGTGTTGCTTCTCCGCAGTGCACCAGTGCTCGGTAAGAAGCGCGTTCAACGGGGCTTACCCGCCGCGGTCAACACTTCGAAAAATACGAATATCAGGGTTCATCTCGAAGCGAATTTCGAATAACCTATTATTCGGAACTACTATTCGAATATTCGCACAACACTACAGTTTTCTCTCACTCTTTTTGTTATCTTTGTTCGCGCTTTAAATGCGTGTCAAAGCTTTTTTTGTTTTGTTTTTACGAACGTTTATTATTTGCGTTGGTAGCAACGGGCTGCGGGCCTGACGCCACTGGAAAAACCGTGGCCATCCACATCCCGGCCGGAACGACTCCCACGGGCTGGGGTTTGTAGACCCCTGGGCCCGTTTGCTCGAAGCGCTAACCGCGGCTAAAGTTAGCCGCAGTACCTAGGAGAGGGATTTTGAGATCACGTGACTGGCTCGGTAGGGATGCGGGGAAACATGGCGGTGCCCCAGTGAGTGAGCGCCGGTCGCTTTGGAACTAATATGTCGTTGTAGCTGCAATATTGGGCGCGTTAGTCAGCAACGAATGGTGCAGGAGGCTTTCGCTTTGCCTTACCTCACTTAAACCGCAAAGGATGGGCAATGACATCACCGCATTTTTTAGATAGTATTTCGATTCTGGGCATTCCTAAGCCTAAATGAACGCGATCATTGTCGGCATGGCAACGTCTTTGGAAAGCGGATTGTTGATAGCACACAAAAGCAGACAGCGTCCCGACAGACGTTTTTCTACATTCTCCAAGCATCGCGACGAGAACGCTGGAAGTGTAATTCTATGGTTCACGCGCGCTGGCCTTCCTCTTATAAAAGATTTGAAGTAAAAAAATCATAATAAGGCTTTAACGAACGCGCGTGCAAGGCAAAATTTGTTTTATACTTTTTGCTTTAGAACGGTCACTACTGCAGACGCCAGCACGTGCGACGCGTGCAACTACAATCGTAGCATGCACCTCGGTGCTTGGATAATTTAGAAAAAAGGTCTGTTGGGACGCCGTCTGCTTTTGTGTGCTATCAACAATCCGCTTTCCAAAGACGTTGCCATGCCGACAATGATCGCGTTCATTTAGGCTTAGGAGTACCCAGAATCGAAACACTATCTAAAAAATGCGGCGATGTCATTGCCCATGCTTTGCGGTTTAAGTGAGGTAAGGCAAAGCGAAAGCCTTCTGCACCATTCGTTGCTGACTAACGCGCCGGATATTGAAGCTACAACGACATATCAGTTCCAAAGCGAGCGGCGCTCACTCACTGGGGCACCGCCATGTTTCCCCGCATCCCTACCGAGCCAGTCACGTGATCTCAAAATCCCTCTCCTAGGTACCGCGGCTAACTTTAGCCGCGGTTAGTGCTTCGAGCAAACGGGCCCAGGTCTACTAGATACTCAAATT